GGAGCGGGCCAGGCAGAGGCGGCGGGCGCCCGGGCCCGGAGCAAGAGGTCGGCGGGGCCCTCAGGTGCCGCGTCGCGCTCCGCGTCCGCAGCCGGGAGGAAGGCGGCGGGTGTCTGTTACCAAGAAACACGCGGGTTGGAGTGTGTGATAGAGTTTAATCTGATTTGCACATTTTACAACGCCTACATGTAGTAAAGCACTACATGGTACCTCATTAATATGTACTATTTTATGTTCTGAAGTAGCAGCGAAAGACTTTGAAGGCGCGGGGACACGAAACTATAACCTCAGCTATTCGAGAGGCTGAGGCAGGGGGATCGCAAGTTGGAGGCTACCCTAGACACCAGGGCAGGAGAGAGCTGTGTTCGCGTGCTCGAGCCCCTGGGCTTAGTCCCTGGTAGGATTGCTGCGTTTTTAGGGGGAAGCTCTGACGCCTGGGGTCCCAGCAGACCGGGCGTGGCCACCCGCTTCAGTCCCACACTGGTATTTATTCCAGGGGGAGCAAGATACTGCCCCTTCCGCGAGGAAAACTGCCCAACAGAATGAGCGTGCTCCACAGTAGCACCAGGTGCCCCACAAGCGTGGTTCTGCACAGGGAGCCCGTGTGATCTGCTGTAGCACCAAAAGGCGGTGTGGGCAGGCGGCCTCCGCTGGAGTCTCTCGCCCGCCACACTCGAAGCTGCAGGACGCGGCCCAGAGGCGTTGTCGCTTGGGCAGCGCATGCGTGGATGTGCAGAGGAGGGTGCTGACCGGCGGAGCGGAAGAGGATGCAGAAGAAAAGGCAGGCGAGAGAAAAGGAAGGGTGGGTTTCCTGTACCTGCCAGCCTGGTGCCGCCCGCCTGGTGTGGTGCCGGGCCAGGCCCGGGGCCCTTGCCCTGAGCTACATCCCCAGCCCTTTTCTAGTTTTGGTTTTGAGATGGGGAGAGAGGGTGGGAACCCTCCACAGTGAGACACAACTGCCCCGTGATCCGCGCTCCCACCTGCCAGCTCGAGACCCTCTTGCCTTGCCTTCCACGCACGTGCCAGCACACCCATCTGGCCTGTCGCTTTGTGAATACTTCTAGGCCTGCACAGCAAACAGTATATTCATAAACTACGAGGAAAAATAGTAAATTTTGAGCTTTAGAGTTAATTTCCTTTTTTCTTTTTTGAGTCAGGGTCTCGCTATGCAGTTCAGGCTGAATTTCAACTCACTGTGTAGCTTAGGTTGGCCCCAAACTTGCAGTGATCCTCCTGCCTCAGCCTCCTAAGATTATAGGCATGTGCCCCCACACCAGGCCAGATTTAATTTTCAAACAGCAGTAACTCAGACCACTGCTTTCCACACTTCAGCTTCCCCCTGCACCTCCAGATGCTCTTCACCTCTAAGTACGATTGTCACCCAGTGTTTTCCTGTAAAGCAGTAGTGCTCCATGGAGCGGGGCAGTTTGCCTGCCAGTGACAGTAGCAATGCCTAGAAATACTTTTCTTTGTTATAATGGGAGTACAGGGGAAGAAATATAAGCTTCTAAAAATCAGGGATATCACCAGGCATGGTGGCACACTCCTGTAATCCCAGCACTTGGGAGGCTGAGGCAGGAGGATCCTTGTGAGTTTGAGGCCAGCCTGGGCTACAGAAGCTCCAGGCCAGCCTGAACTGCATAGCGAGACCCTGTCTCAAAAAAGACAAAAAACAAATAAAATTGAAAAAAAAAAATCAGGGATATTGCAGAGCACACTCTAGTGAGCAGCAGAGTGCCTGAGAGAAAACTATCTATCTCGCTCATGATGTCAGCAGTGCTGGTGCTGAGAGAGCCTGACTGCAGTCAGTTCATTTTATTTTAAACTTCATAATCATGAACACCTGTTGAGTGAGCGCATCTTGTAAACGCTGTCCTGAGTGCTTGAATGAGAATGTGATACTTAGTTCGTGGAATCTACACATCAATCTAATTAAGTGGTGACTGCTTTACAAGTGCAGAAAGAGAGAGTTAACTGACTCATCCCCGTGCAAATCTCTACTAGGTGCTGAACCTAGACGGGAGGCTGCAGAGATAGGCAGCTTAGCCAGAAGGCTAGACTTTGTATCACTACCACCACAAGCTGTGTTTCTTACTAGGAAAACATAAATTCAGTGAGAGCAAATTCTTCCTGGACTGTAGCTATGGTTGCCAGCCGAAATCTCTAGGTCTCAATCATGCGTGGTGCTCAAAAGGATCCTGAGTGTGTGTGTCGGGGGGACTTAGAGACGCACTAGCATCAAACCACGGACATCTCAGCTAGGAGACCAGACACAAGCCAGACACAGAAAGACGAGCACCACACCACATGTCCTCACCTCTCTGTGGAAACGAAAAGAGTCAGTCTCACAGGAGACCAAGGTGGCTACTCAGGACTGGGAAGGACAGGGCTGGGGGCAGAATGAAGCTGGACATGGGGCCAAGCAGAGAGAAGAGGGATTAGCCTTGTTCGGCTGTAGCACAGAAGGCTGTCATAAGAGCTATGCTCTATTTCAAAATAGCTAGAAATGATTAATGTTTGAAGATATAGAAATGGTTATTACCCTGATTTGATCATTAAATATTTCCATGCAGAAAATTATCATACTGTATCTCATAAATATGTACAAATATTATATCCCAATGAAAGTAATACAAGCCAAGAAACACTATTTTCCCCCTGGTACAGGGGGCTGAACCCAGGGCCTTTGCACTGTTATATGCCCAGCCCTTAATTTTTTATTTTTTTTATTTTGAGACAGGAACTTTCTAAATTGGTAAGTTGCTAAGTTGCCCAGGCTGGGCTCAGACTCATGATCCTCCTACCTCAGCCTCCTAGAGTGTTGTGATCACAGGCATGTGTCATCAAATCCCACCTTTCTTCTTACCATAATCACAAGAAATGAAAGTAAGTTTTTTGTTTTGTTTTGTTTTGTTTTTTTCCGGTACGGGGAATCAAACTCATGACCTCGTGCTTGCCAGGCAGGGGCTGTGCCGCTGAGCTAAATCCCCAGCCCCTGAAAGTAAATTTAAAAGAGAAGAGGTTTCCTAATATGTGAGTCAATATTCTATTATGCTGTGTTCGTATACACTTAAAATACAAATTCTTCAATAATCAAATAACCTAGGATAGTTTGATTCCACATGAATTAGGTAAATAAGATCTACTTCTTTTTTTTCCCTTTTTGGTACCAGGAATCAAACTGAAGACCTTGCACTTGCCAGGCAGACACTGTGCCAGAGAGCTATATCCCCAGCCCAAGATCTACTTATTGGAGGTCTTGTGTTAGACATGATTGAATATCTTCACCCACAGTACTGAAACAATAACGTCTGTGTCACAGTGCCATGGTGAACATTAAATGCGATGTCGAGTGTCTTGCAAGATTACTAGCAGAAAAGTGCATACACAGTGGAAAACAAATATTAGTTCTTTTCATTTTCTGAAGAGTCTGTGGTGTCCTTCTTGGAGTGGCCTAGACCCTAAGCCTTAGAGTCTCTTGTGCTCCGTGATAGTGCGAGCTCCCGCCAGGCCCTGGCAGGACCAATGGCCATGTTGGCCCCAGCGTGTCATAGGAGACAAAGAGTTGCTTTTGGTCACTGACAGTGGAGTCACACGGGAGTGCCAGGAAGAACTGGCCTTTTGCACCATGCCATGTGGCCTGGTGCCAGCTGAAATCTCTAGGTCTCAGTCATGAGTGGTGCTCAAAAGGAGCCTGAGTGTGTGTGTGGGCGGGGAGTTAGAGATGCTCTACCATCAGGTGAGAGATGCTGATTGTCTGGGGAAAATATATGGAAACTACAGTGACTCTGACTGAGTCACAGTTCCCTAGAGGTTGCAAGGGGGAGGAGGA